AGGCTCCCCCCCGGCCCCCCCCACCCGTTCTTCGTGCCCACTCGCCCATGTGCCCTGGCTTCACTGAGCAGGGGTCAAGGGGGCGGGGGACACCACTGCCTCCAAGTGGGACGGCCCAGCCTCACTCCCCACCCCACCGCCCGACACGGCCCTGAGAGGGGCCTCGAGACAGGCTGCAAGGGCCCGTCTCCCAGGACAAAATGGTCCCCTCACCTCTCAGAGATAAGCAGCGTGGCCCATTGCCCTGGCCTTGCCTTCTGGTTTCTCCCTTCTCTACGGGGCTCAGATGTTTCTTTCCCCACAGAGAATGGAACAAACATCTAGGCTTTTCCAGAGGAGCCCGCTACTCCAGGGCCTCAGTTTCCTCATCCAGACTACCTGTCTTCCCCGCCCTGCCTGACCTCACCCCACTGGCCCCCGACCAGCCGCCACACCCGAGGCCCATCCCTGTCCTCCTCACCCCCCTTCCCACCCTGCTTCCGAAAGCAGACAGATCAGAGTTTAAATCCCGCGCAGAGTTAGGGGGCACAGCCTGCTTCCTAGGGCAAACGCGGCCTAAGAGGGGGCGGGAGAAGCCTTCCTCCCGTTCCATCCCTGCGGCCCGGCTCCCCCTAGGCCCCCAGCCCCTCGGCCGTGGCCTGTCCCATCAACAGGAACTCTGGCAAAGCCCTCGGGCACCTGCACCACCCCCAGCCCAGAGCAGGCAGCCGGGTCCCCCCACCAACCGGGCCCTGGATCCACTCCACTCTGCAGTGTGTGAGGCCACGTCCCTGACTGCAGCAGCCACAGTCCCGTGTGACCACCTCAGGAGGACCATTGAAGCAGCAGTGACAGCAGTCACAGAGCCCAGCAGACCTCTGGGGCTGGTAGGGCTTCACCCCTCTTGCTCCAGACTCCACAGAGCAGGGCACATGTCCAGGAAAAGGTACTGCAGGCCCTTGCAAAGTCCCCCCAGGTAATGTGTCTCCACGTAGACTTCTGGGGGGAAGGCCAGACCCGGCGCCGGGAGGTCCCGCGTAGAGCTAAGCCTGTGTCAACGAGGCCTGTCACGGTCCTGGCCCTGGAGCTTGTGCCCGAGCCCTGTGTCCTGAGCGAGGCCCGGCGCCACCCTGAGGCCAACCCACACAGCTGCTGACTGGACAGACTCCGATGCAGACGAGGGACATTGCAACAGTGCCAAGGCCCGTGGCCACTTTCGACATTCGGTCACCTGGGGAGACGGGCCTCGGAGGGGACACAGAAATGTCCAGGCTGAGCCTGCGAGCACAGCCCCAGGGACAAAAAGGCCGCCACCCGGGCTGTGGGAGCGGGTATGTGCCCGAGGCCTGGCCGGGTGGACGCCGACCCCTTCCTTAGCTGAGGGGCCACTGGGGTGAGGCCATGTGGGAGGTGGGGGAGCTCGGGCAGGGGCTCACTTGGGCCACCACAGGGCAGCAGCAGCAGCAACATGAGCACACCCGGAAGCTTCTGGAGATGCCCCGAGGCACAAGGCGGGGAAGCACAAGGAGCCAGACACCACGGAAGGCCACCCACGGAAGGCACCAAGAACACAGGGCAGCTCGCATTCTCTCCGGGGAAGGCCCGGCGTCACAGGGCCCCACACCCCTGGGCCCCCTGGGTGGCCAAGCCACATCCAGGGACTCAGTGGGCACTACCCCCAAGTGCCCTGCACGAGGCTCCCTGGAAAGGACGGCAGTGTGGCCCAGCATCCCTGCTCTGCCCCTCGGATGGTCGGTTCAGCCCTAGCCGAACCCCATCCCGTCACAGGGACTGGGCAGCAGGTGCTCTGAGAAGAGCTGCAGCGCCGCGGGGCCCCACTCCCCACACTTGCCACACCTCCGGGTGTGCTCAGGTCCCTCACCTGCACCTACAACAGGACGGAAGGAGGACCCGGAAAGGCAGAGACAGGAAAGACGTGGTGCCAGGTGCTGGGTGTTGGGAGAGATGCCAGGGTAGAGCCGCCCACTGTCCCCAGAGCCCTTCTCCACCCCTAGCACAACTGTCTAGCCCCTTACTGATACCTAGGCCTGACGACCTGAAATACACACTACATCATCCACCCTCCCACTGCGGCCAGATGTGGCCAGTGAGATAGGGTCCAAATGGCCACGTGAGAGCTTCTGGAATGTTCCTTATAGACAGCCTGTCTGTTGCTGGGAATATAGGCATGATGGCTAGATCTCTACCTGCCATCTTGATTAATGAGGATGAGGTCCCCGCATTAGCAATGGCAGACCAGTTACCAGAGGAGACTGGGTGGTAAGGGCTGCATGGGTCAGCTCTGCCACATTAGCCATAAGGGGTCTCCCTGCAATCCACATATGAGGGGACAGGAATGCTCTCGCTTGCATAAGCCATTGTCACAGGAAATGCATTTCCCACCAAAGGCAGGCATCAGCCCAGCTCCCCCACGAGATTAATGAGCCGACACACATAACCAAGAGGGAGAGCGCACAACCTTTCCCACAGGGAGCAGAACGTCATCTGGCAAGTTCAAGCACCCATCCCCAGTTAAAAACCGCAAAACCTGGGACAAAGTCACTGCCTGACATCATACGGATACTCCCTGAAATTCACATCCAGTCTCAAATCAAGCCCTAAAGCCCCAAGCAGCAACAACACGGCTTCAGAAGCAGACAACACTGATACGTCCTAAGCAGCAAAATAAAATATGAGGCCAGAAATCAAAGGGACAAATTTATGAATACGGATCATACAAAGTATCCCAGACTCCTACAAACTTTGGTACACTTATCTCGGCTATCAAAATGTGACTTAAAATACGCGTATGCTTCTTTAAAAACATTCGATATGTACGTAACAGTTGTGAGGACCCTGCTTCTAGGAGACACACAAGTACTTTCCAGACTCCCCACTCCCACCCCCGCTACGTGCACTGAAGTCCCGGGCACCACACGTGAAAGGCATCAGAAGACTCTGAAAGGCATAGGGAAGGAGGCACAGACGTGGGGACCAAGCAGCAGCTCAGAGGTAAGGCCTCGGTCTCTCCATTTGCCGCATACCCCAGACTGAGCGCTGGAGCCGGGGTGGCCCAGAAATGCCCCCAGCAGGCATCACAGCATGCTCCCCAAAACCCAGCTCTCTCCGGCTAAAGGACCAGGATGGGGGCGGCTACACGAGAAGAAAACCATAGACAGCAATCACCCTACTCCAGGCAGACCGCCAAAACTTGCACACACCTCCACTCTCCGCCGGCTGTGACGGGGGCACCAACCACACAAGGGTACCAGGAACCTGGCCCTTCTGGCTGGGAGCACGCACACCCTGCTGCTTGGAGTCAGGGGAGACCGAGAGCTCACGAGTCCCAACAGAGGCCCGTCATGCAGCCCCTCCTGAAGTATCAAGGTGGCAGCCCCTCCCTGGCAAGCCACATCACAGAAACCCAGCCAAAACACAAGGGCCAAACAAAGACCCAGACTCTCACACATAATACCCCGGAATCCAGGTTCTGATCAAGAACCAGAACATTCTCAACAAATGAATGAAAACAACCCACAGACAACAGCACCAAGATTAACAGAATAGTTAGAATAACTAACAACATTTGAAAACAGCTATTGTAAGAATAATTTAACAAATAACCACAAACACACTTGAAAAAATGAAAAAACAAAAACAAAAAACCTCCAGCAAAGAAATAGAAGATGCAGAAGAGAATCAAATGGAAATTTTAGGGGCATTTGAGTGGCTCAGCCGGTTAAGCATCTGACCTCGGCTCAGGTCATGATCTCACAGTTTGTGGGTTCAAGTCCCGCATCAGACTCTGTGCTGACAGCTCAGAGCCTGGAGCCGGCTTCGGATTCTGTGTCTCCCTCTCTCCCTCTGCCCCTCCCATGCTCACGCTCTGTCTGTCTCTGTCTCAAAAATAAATAAATGTTAAAAAAAAAATTTTTTAATGAGCAGAGAATCTGATTATACATTTCTCCAAAAAGACACATAGATGGCCAACAGGTGCATAAAAAGATGCCCATCATTAATCATCAGGGAAATACAAATTAAAACCATAGTGAGATATCACCTTATACTGAGGAAACACATCCCAATTCATTATAGAAAGTTAATATTATCTGACACCAAAACCGGACCAAGACTAAAAGAAAACTACAGACTAATGTCCCTAAAGAACATGGAAGTAAAAACCCTTAACACAATATTAGCGTGTCAGCAATACATACCAACAACTGACCCAAATTTCATCAGGAGACACACCATCACCAGTCCAATATTGAAATATCAATCAATGTTATACACCATATCAACATACATAGAATAAAAGTCACATATCTACACTTGTGGCGAGCATAGCATAACCATACACGTGTCAGATCACTATGTTCTATACCAGAAATTAATGTAACATTGTACATATGTTGCACACTGTAGTTACACTGCAATTATAATCTATACTCAAATTTAAAAAACGTTTTAATCGCATCGCAATTTATTCAGAAAAAGAATTTGACGAAATTCAACGTCAATTCCTGATGAAACAAACACTCAGAAAAATAGGAAGAGAGGGTAACTTCCTCATCTTGATAAAGAACCACCAGAAAAAGCCTACAGCAAGTATCACACTTAATGGTGAAACCCTAAACGCTTTTACCAGGAGCAAGCCAAGGATGTCTGCTTTTCCCACTTTTATTCAACACATAGCACTAGAAAGTACAGTGCATGAAACAAGGTAAAAAGGAAATAAAAGGCATACATATTGGAAAGAAGAAATAATACTACAAATATTTGCAGATAACCTGATGGTCCATATAAGAAATATGAAGGACTCTGCAAAACCATACCAAAGTAAAACATCAAAAGAACAAAAATAATAACAAACAAAACAATACCCTCTCCCCAGAAAAACTTGGTAGAACAAGCAAAGAATGATGAACAAGCAAAGTAGATAGTTGCAGGATACAATATCAACATACAAAAAGCAGTTGTATTTCTACATACTAAGAATGACCACGTGGACATTGATATAAAAAATACAATCTCAGGGAGCCTGGGTGGCTCAGTCAGTTAAGCATTAGACTCGCGATTTCAGCTCAGGTCAGGATCTCACAGTTCATAGGATCAAGCCCCACATCAGGCTCCATGCTGACAGCACAGAGCCTGCTTGGGCTTCTCTCTCTTCCTCTCTCTCTCCCCCTCCCCTGCTTGTATGCACATGCTCTCTCTCAAAATAAATAAACCTTAAAAAGAATTACAATCTTACTTGCAATCACTCAAAAAAATGGAATTGATAGGGGTAAACATATCAAAACATGTACAGGACTTGCATGCTGAGAACCACAAAACACTGGTTTAAAGAACTTAAAGAAGATCCAAATAAATGGGGAGACATACCATGTTCATGGACTGGGAGACTCAATACAGTAAAGATGTCAATTCTCCACTTAACACGGATCCTATCAAAATCCCTGTAAAGATTTTAGTAGCTACAGGGCAGATTATTCTAAAACTTATATAGAAAAGCTAAGAAACAATAACAACTAAAATCCTTCCTAAAAAGAACAGCAAAGTGGGAGGAATCACTCTACTTGATGTCGAGATTTATTATACAGCCACATTAACCAAGACCGTGTGGAAGGATAAACACATAGAGCAATGGGACACAACACAGACCCAAGAAATAGACTCCCACAAATACACACAACTGATTTTTGACAACCACAGAAAAGCAGTTCAGTGGAGGAGGTCTACAGAACTACCATACAATCCAGCATTATTTACAACAGCCAAGACGTGGAAACAACCTCAGTGTCCATCGATGGATGAATGCATAAAGAAAATATGGTACCCGTATATGATGGAACATTATCCCACCATAAGAAGAAGGAAATCCTGCCATTTGTGACAACATGAATGGACCTAAGGGGTATTATGCTAAGTGAAGTAAGTCAGAGAAACAGAAACACTGTAGAGTCTCACTTACATGTGGAATCTTTAAAAACTGAGCTCAGAGATGCAAAGAACAGACTGGGTGGTTGCCAGAGTGGGGGGGGGGGGCAGGCAAAATGGGCACAGGGAGCAGGGTGGTCAAAAAGTACAAGCTTCCAGTTATAAAATAAGTAAGTTCTGGGGATGTGATACACAGAATGATGGCTGTAGTTAACCATATTGTACACTTGGAAGCTGATGAGAGTAGGTCTTAAATTCCCATCACAAGAAAAAAGAAACCTGTAACTATGGTAGGTGAAGGATGTTAACTAAACTTACTGTGGTCATCATCTCACAACCTATACGTATATCATGTATGTTGTATGCTTTAAACTTATACATTATGTTGATTATATCTCAATAAAACTGGGGAAAATGGCAATAGAAGACGTATAGCATTTTCAACTGATGGACAATAGACACCCACAGGCAAAAAAAAAAAAAAAAAAAAAAAAAAAATGAACCTTGACCTAAAACTCACACATTATACAAATATTAACTCAAAATAGATCACACAGTTCTATGTAAAAACATATATAAACTTTCAAACTTTTAGGAAAAAACTTAAGAGAAATCCTTGGGATCTAGGGCCAGACAAAGAGTTCTAGGACTGGACACCAAAAGCACAATGCATAAAAGAGTCAGTTCACAAACCCAACTTCATCAGAATCAGAAGCATTTGCTCTGCAAAAGATTTGTTAAGAGGGACTAAAAGACAAGCTACATACTGGGAGGAAATGTTTGCAAACCACATACCTGCCAAAGAATATTATATATTCTATAATATATAAAGAACTCTCACGGCTTAAGAATAAAAGTTGGATGATAATGATGATTATGATGATAGATAGATGACAGATGGATGACAGATGTGATAGGTAAATATGACAGACGGATATGATAAATAAT